ACACTTCCCCGAGTGCTTCCTCTCCCACCCCTGGCACAGCAGGTTATTGTTTGATGGAGCAAACTTGCATCTTGTTTGCAATTCACTCACCTCGTCTTTTGCGTCAGCCAAGCGCACAGAAAGTCTTCCCACACCAAATCAAAACAGGCCCTTAAGTTCATCAAACATTTGAAATTCTTGCATGAAATTTAGCACTGAAACACAAAGCGTTATCATCTGTAATAAAACACATTAGGAGATGCTGAACATGCTTTAAAAGGCAACTCTGCCACGTTGCTCTTTGAAAAATCAAGGATAGTCTACAAGAAGAACAGCTGTCAGTCTGAATTCAAACCCAGAGGGATTCGCTGAAATTTGGACAGTATGGAACAGAACATACCTATGGCTGCCACAGTACCCATGTGCTGTACAGCTCCCCAGTTTTGGGAGCAGTAATGCCACTCCCCAGACAGACACAGAGGCAATTGCCCATGATACAATGTTAAAAAAAAATAGCTTGTACGTTTTGCAGTAGCATCAAGTCTCTATTCAAGTGTAAAAAAATTAATTGACTCCATCTGTATTGGCCTAATGACTGATTAAATGACTAATCACGGAAGTCTTAATTAAAATCATTTTTCTGTACAGAAGAGGATGGAGGGAGGAAGGCAATCATTAATGTGTTCTAATGCATGTCACATTCCATTTGTGCCTGTTCCTAACAGCCAGCAGATGAGTAATCACTCACAAGGTCATCCTGCAAACTTTCTGCTCACATCCCACTGATGGCAGCAGGCTCGGCTGGGCTCTGCTCCTTCCCAATCACAAGGCAGGTAATTAATGTTGCTCAGCACAAATAACACAGGGAGCTGACATTTTTCCAGCCCAGATCCACACACCACTTCCATGTTCCTCGTGGATTGACAGGGATCTCCCTCACACTGAAATTCCACAATATGCCAGGAATTTTTCCTGCATGAATAAAATGACCAGGCAACTAAAAGAATCCTTTTCAAGTAAAGCAGGATGGCTGTGGGACACTTATTTTAAGTTTTATTTGCCAGCCACCTGACGACCCTGATGCATAGTGACCTCTGCTATGGAAAAACAACAAGAGCTGCTTCCACCTCAACAGCTGAGAGGGAGCTATTTAAAACAATGTATTAAAATGTCTAACGGAATAAAGAAGTGTGTCTTGAGGTTAGAGGAACCAGCTTTCCACTGGCATGTAACTCATCCACAGCACCTCCACTTTGTGATGAAACATTGCACATGAAATATTAAAGTCCAGAGTACAAAGTGTAACACAAAATGTTTTGTTTGCTGCCTGCTGTCCTGAAATTGTAGAAATCTTTATTTGCAGCCACCAGCAAGTCTGTGTGGCATTGGCTGCAACAGCTCTGCATATCCCAGGTGACAACACACTATCATGTATAAAACAAGGCTTTTATAAAGCTAAAATCAAATGCTTTGATGGGGAAAAAGAAGATGGTACAGCCCTGTCATATATCAACAAATGCCCAATTCTAAAACTTTACTGTCCTTCAAAGTCCTGAATTCAAATCTGCAGCACTGGTGTGAGCTGCAGTTCACAATCAGGGGCCAAGTAAGTTCCAGTCCTCCTAAAACAATGGAACCAACTTTTAGTACTAAGACCCTTCAACTACCGCTTTTCCTAACCAGCAGCATTCCCAGCAACAGTCCTGGTAAGGAAGATCTCTGCAGTGACACCGAAAATTCACATCCTCCTGTGTTATCCCAGCTGACTGAAAATAGGGCTCAGAATATGGAGGGACAAAAGGGACAGAAAAGATGGAAAGAATCTTAAGGCATTACATGACTCTGTAATGTCCATTTTCCCCTTTTGGCCTCATTAAGTACTACCCTGGCTAAACCAGTCAAAGTCACAGAAAACCAAATCTACATCAACCAGCCTCATCCAGATTTCAGTTAAATACAAATTTCAACTATTCTGAATTAATCATAACACAATCTTGACCCTACTTACCACATAACAGAAGAAAACAAAAATATGTGACAACAAATCTCTGCTTGCAGTAACTGTCAGTGTCACATATGAAAGAAGTTCATTTTACTAATAAAGGAAATGGAATTGAGTGATAGATTTAAAATTAAATTCAGCTATTCTATAAATGTCACTCAGAGTTTTAAGGTGGCTCTCAAGGCTTAAAACCAGCACTGAGACTCAAATGTGCCACTCTCTGGGCTTCTGGGGAATTAATGGAGCTCAGTTTTATCTTCATCTGAAGACACATACGCTTAAAACAACCACAAAATCCATCACCACGGCACCAGAACACGCCAAAATAAACAGCATACAGATGGCACAGGAAATCTTTCAAAACCTGAAGATATTTTAATGGAATAATTCAACACAATCTGCACTACTCTGCTAATGCAAATGAAAACTTGCACAACTACCTAAATTACAGGGTGGTGTGCCATTCTTAATCTTCTCAGAAATGTAGGAGTTCCTGTTTCAATCATTTCTATTGTTTGAAATACACACTGTGATAATGGAGCCACTGCGGGCAGGGGCTGATTGGGGGTGAAGCTAATTAATAACTTGGTGTGTGCCCTGCTGGGGGTTGGATGGGATCAGCAGAGGTGAGATCCACCTGCCAGTGACCTGTCTGGAACTCAGCACTGGGCTTTTCCTGCACACACTGACCATTTCTGTTACTCCTGGTCTTTAATTGGAGAAAATACGTAAAAGTCAAGTACTTCTAGAGCCTCTTGGATACCTGAACCCTCCTCAGCACACAAGGACATATCCTTCACATCACAGGATGGATGGAAGTCCATCTAAAAATTAGGATCTTGGTGAAAAACAGACTTTGGACTTCTTTGTGTTTCAAGCACTAAAACAAGCACTAAAATGTCTTATGCCGAAAGACAGACCACACAAGATGGTGTCTTATATGAAGGCATCTCCAGCTATTCTAGATCCATAAATCTGGGAATTTGCAACTCCTTAGGCCACTTAATAGGATAAGCAAACCAGGTTCAGACTGAGGTATTGGAATGCAGCCACGTGAGGCCATTCAAGTTAAAAAAACCCCCAGTCTACACTGGATTGCCTGGTCACACTGCAAGAGTGAGGGACACACTTGCTGCATGTGGTAAATGGAGCTTCTTTTGATGTGCTTTAAATAGTTCATAAGTCACAGACTGGTTTGGGCTGGAAGGGATCTTAAAGACCATCCAGTTCCACCTCCTTGCCATGGGCAGGGACACCTCCCACTAGCCCGAGTTCCACACCTCTGATTTCTGTGGTCAGCCAGTGCACATTGTCCTGTCTGCTGTGGCCTGAACATGACTTCTCATAGTGGTTAAAGGTGAGAAAACATCTTGTCTGCTCCAGAGAAACTACTGCACCTCAGTGGGGCAGGGGCATGGGATCACTGTGTCTGCTCACGGCAGCGAGTCCCACCAGCACGGTTTGGTGCTTTGCTCAACCAGTGACAAAGGTGACAATCAGTCACCAGGGCAGACCTGCTCAAGGCAGCATTTTTAAGAGCTTGTAACTACTGCACAGCAAAGAAATTAAAGCAAACACTGAACAAGTTTCCAGTAATAACAGGCTGTAGTAAAAGTCACTTTCATCACAACCCAAATAATGGGAAAGTTAAACAACACCTTTCTCTGAACTGCTGCATCTCCCACCCGTGTCAGAGGATCTCCACCTCCCTGCTCACTGTGTCAGCTGAGAAATGCAAATGAGCCCTGCCCTACTCCTCTGTTTGTTTTGTACAGTGAGCACAATTTCTGCCTGAGTCCAACTGTATTTCCATCCTCTTTGTGCCACACAAACCTCATTTACCAGTCATTCTTCTCCCCGTGAAGAGATCCATAATGAGGAGTCTTTCTGCCATTGCCCTGCTCCTCTGAGTCAGGAGTTTTCATTTCCCCCAGTCCTTGCTGCTGGGGCTGCAGTTTCATTGCCTGCCATCTCCCACCACAGCCCTGCTGGGAGCACATCTGGGGCTGGGGCAGGGAAGGAGCCAGGATTGCTCTGGGAGCTGTTCATCGATTAAACAGTTACTGAAAACCAGAGGCTTTATTTACTGTGCTCTCAGATGGCACTCATAAAAAGGAAGGTTTATTCACTCCACTTGAAATGACAGTTTACTCTTGTTAGTTTATCCAGTTAGTTAATTCTTGCCTATCAAACAGAAAAAATGTAACACTGGTGTTGTTTTCAAACAGTGAAAGCACATCAGTGACGCACTGAAAATCTACAGCTGGGGGTAACTTCTCATCCATTAACACCACAGAGGGTCAGAATATACTTTCAACACCTAATTCCACCCCAGACTTTCAGTAAACTCAGACTGGTGTTTTTTGGTGGTTTATTTTTGCAGAGAGCAAAGATTTTCTGTGCTTGCATAAACAATAATTATTGCATTGCCATAGCTCAACCCACCATTTCAAAACTTGACTAACACAGTAAGCAGAGAAGTTTTTCCTCTCTAGGTAATTATTTTCTTTTTAACTGTGTGCATCCTATGAAATGCAATTATAGAAGTTTGTTTAAACACACCAGTTTCCAAGTGGCAACTTTGGATGTAATGGCAAGGTTAGGTGTAGTCATCAGAGCAGACTGCAAAACTTGGCTGGAAAAGTTTTCCTACCTGAAAAACCAGGCAAAGTAGATTTGATGGCAATTATGAAAGTGTAGTGAGCCCCCCCACCTACGTCATTAGAAAGATCTAATAACACAAAAAAAGCACTTCAAAAAGCTATCCAACCACCAAAACCCCACCACCAACACTCTCCAAAGTTAAGGGCTGAAAACTGTTCTTGCAAGCACAAGCCAAGGTTATGAGGGAATAAAAGGTGTATTGGCATAAAATGTGATAACAGAGGGGTCAGGGAACCAAAAAGCAGGGCCCTTGTCCAGGAGGACCCCCCAGCCGGGAGGGGGGATTGCAGGGCTCAAACCTGCCCTGGGCAGGAGCAGCCCCCAGCTGAGCAGCACAGTCCTGGTTCACACGTACCTGCTGCCTTCCCTCCTCCCCTGCGAGACTGTCATCCTCAGCTTTCTCAGCAGATCTCCTGCCACTTGGCTTTTTGCCTCCTTTCTGCAGGGGGAAAAAAAAAAAAAAAGAAGTATTTCTGTAGTGCTTCGGGAAAGTGCCAAAACTGGTGTAATTTATGATGTGCTAGTGTTTTCCTTTGCATTTGTAACTTAAGAACAAATGCAAAATCATCAGCACTTGACTATGCTGGGGTTTGATTTACATATATTAAGATTCTCTCGTGATTTCCTATTATTTATTTCTGTAAGCAAAATTGGATCCTGGTCACTAAAACTATCAGCATCCCCTGCAGTGAAAAGACAAAAGCCAGAATGTACAACTCAACAGTCAAAAGGATTTGAAACCAGAAGCTGGAACAAATTGTCTGATCTGAAACTCTCATCTGCTCTTCCCTTTTGGAACATTCTCACTGGGAGTGAAGCAAACAGTTATCTATAAATAGTAAATAGTTATCTGTACCTGAACTTTGGGAATGGGCACATCCTACTGTCTCAGTTCAAACAATTGGATCTAGGCTTTTCCCCAGAATTTTCCCAATACAGCTTCAGTTTGTAGAACAGGTTATTTTCTGGACTATTTCCAGGAATTAGATGCCTACACTATTGTTTTCCTCATTTTAATGTATTGTATCCATGCAAATATGGAATTTTACATTAAGGCTGAAGAGTGAAAAGAAGGGTTGTGTTCCCCCTGCAATTCTTTATCCCACCTAGGAGACCTTAAATAAGGACTTTCCAGCTGGGAATGCTGCAGCTCTCTCCACAGGGCTGTAACTTTATCATTATAAGGTGTGATAAAAGTTAAGTCTTTGCCTCTGCAAGGACATTAAATAACATCTTTCTCTCCATTAGCTTTTGCTGTAGTAGCAGTATTTATTCTCTGGGCAATGAGTGAGAACCACACTCCTTCCAGGATAACTCCAGGCTCTTAATGCACCAACAGTTTCAGAAAGGTTCCTGTGTCACTAAATTTAATGTGGGTTTAATATTATTATATTGTTAATTGATAGCTCTTGTGCCACACACAGTTTCAAAGGAAATGTTTAAGAGCCTCTTAAACATCAGTGAAGTCCTACATTTGGATAATCCATTTACTGAAAGAATTCTTCATGCCAATCTTCAGCTGAAATAATCTCACAATAAGCAGCTGTTCAAAGAGACGTGTTTAAAATCAATGGTTTCAAGGTGCCTGACAGGATTTCACATCAGCCATCTCAAATTTACACACCTACAGTGGTATTTCTGTGCTCCCACATTACTGGTAACGTGGCACAGGAAGGTTTAGGCAGCAAATGGCACAGCCTTGTGCCAGGCATTAAAATAAATTCCAGTTTCACAGGCTTTCAAGCGAAGCTAAAGCATCTAAATCAGAGAATCACTCCTTAAGTCCCCCCTTCATGTTAATTTTAATTACAACAATTACTGCTGCCAGCAAGACAAAGCTCCTGTGCCCCCTCTGAGGGCTGAGTGCCAGCACAACGACTCCTTCCATAACCACCCTTCAGGAGAGGGCAGCTTGACCTCTCTGGGAGCGAAATATCAATTAATTATCTTTTTACAGCCCATTCAATTACAGCACAGGAGTCACTTGTGCAGGACATCAAGCCCGGAGTTGGGGTGGGTGGGGGAAGGAAGGAGAAAGCCCTGGCAGGGAAGAGCCCTCAGAAAGGCTGGGGGGCTGTGACCCCACAGAGGCAGGGAAATGTTTGTTCACATCCCACAGAGAGTTATTCTCTGGCTGTAGCAGGGGAAACGCTGCAAGATCATCCTCGTTTAACTGAAGTTTTTTAAAAATACAGGGTTATTGGTCCTAAGGGGGGATAGACATTTCATTTAAAGGTGACCAGACACACTGCATTAGTCTTTAATGCTGGAGTCAATTCACCAAAGAGATTTGTTCATTAAGGGGGGGGGAAAGAAGATAAAAGATGATCTATTCAGCAGAAAACAAAATATATTTAACTTTTGTTAAATAAAGTACTATTAACTCAAGTTGCTGAGGACTATTTCACTACTGGACTGATGCCAAAGAAAATTATCAAGTGTGATACATCCCAATAATGCACTCAGCAGAACAGTGGTATAGAAGCAAACATGCTTTAATTTATGATCCCATTAGCATTGCTGCAGAGGCCAAACTTCTGAGAGCACAAATAAACACATCAGGACATGCAAAAAGTGCAAGAGTGTGCATGCAAACAACCCCCAAATGTGACTCTATTTCATTTATAGCTTTGGCAAAGGGAAAAGGGGAGGTGGGTGTCAGGCCCTTCTTGCAGGCCACAGGGGACAGGATGAGAGGAAACGGCCTCAAGTTGGGCCAGGGGGAGTGTTAATACAATCCTTGGAAATTAAAATTGAATTCAAATGGTTTTGATTAAAAAAAAATTATCTTACAGTGAAGATTATAACAATCTTCTATTTTTGACCCTAAATTTCCCTTTTTCCTCTGTATAGTAACTTCAGTTCACCAAAGATTTTTCCTGTGAGAATGACTCTCATCCATATTAAAGCATTCTGTGGAAACAAAGACTTCACTCAGGTGGAGGGTTCATCAAACCCACTAAAATTATAATCATTTAATAAATGTAATGACTGCTCTGTATTTAAAATATTTTCCCAGGCAGCACTTTAGCATATTGTGTATTCCAAACAAACTGCTGTTGCATAATCATTAACTCTGCCCCACGCAGATCTTACAAAGAGTGTAATGAAGATTCCAGCAAAGTGAAGGATGTTGAGTTTTCCTATGGATTGCAAACACACCCATGTGCCCACTGAGATCCCAGGACAGTCTGGCTGGAGTTGTTGGAAGGACAAGCAGTGCTGTTGTCTCATCCTGAGGCCAGCAGGGCTGAAGGAAACAACGTGTCCAGTGTCACCCACAGGATCTGGGCTCGGAGCACAAACCCTCCTTTTCCCTCCGTTCCCACGTCATATCCACTGGGTTGGGATGTTCCACCAAACAACTTCCAGGGACTACCAGACAAGAATTCCCACAAACACCCAAAGCCAAAGGGACTTCTCAAAACTGCACAGTAACTCTTGAATCAGAATCTGCCCAGCGAGGAGTGATTTAAACTGTGAGTCTGGAAAACCCCCTTGGAAATGAGGGGAAGAATTCTCCCACCTCTTTTCTTTATTGCAGATATAATGTCAGGTTATCTTTGGTTACCAGATTTATGTTTTTAAGTGTTCTCCAGTGCAGTTTGAAGGGAATTGTCTGAGCCATCCCTGCTGCCCAGAGACAATTCCAGAGCTGCAACTCCAGCACCTGCACTGCATTCACTGCACTGACATTCCCAAGGGGCCGGGGCAGATTCCCCACTGACAACAATTAGCATCAAAATGTTCCCCAGTGCAGAGCTGTGGGTGGGAATTACAAAAGGTTAACAGACTAAATATAAAAATCTTTTTGAATATAAAATCAATGCGCTTTGTTACCGAAATCTGGGTACTGTAATTTAACCAAAATAGGGATTAGAGTCCCTGGCAATCTTCCATGTGTGTGAGCTGGGCTTTTCTTTGAGCAAAATGCTAAACAGCCAGTCTGAAAGTCTGAAACAAAACAACCCAAAGACCCAAAAGAAAGCATTCTATACTTCTTTTTCTTTAAAATTTTCTTAAGCTCAGCACCAAAAGGAACCCCACACCTATCAGGGCTCACAGTGGTCCTGTTATATGGGCAGACTCAAACTCTCCAATTGTTTTATTGCATGATTCAGAGAGGGACATATTTAGAGAGGTCAAAATCAGCCAGGAGTTCCTGGACTCTGCTGAACTCTAATAATGTCACAAATTATGTGGCCACTATTGCAACCCAGGGCTGCCAGGGGCTGGTCAGAATTGCTGCTTTTTACCCACAGCTCTGTGGGGCTCCCAGTGTGTACCAGGGGTCTGAGGGGTGGGATCCCAGCTGGAGTAACTCGGGTGTTTTACACTAAACAGCCCCAGCACATTTATCCACATTCATACACACATCTGGGGCACTGACCCTTCAGTCACAGGTAGAAGAGAGAATAAACTCTCTGCACAGACAGAGGGTTAATCACTCATTGAGGTCTTTTCCAACCTCAACGACTCTGTGATTCCCTTTGCCCTCACCCAGCAGAACGTATGAAATGTCAGATTAAAAGTAATCTGATTTTGCAGCAATTCTTTATTTATCACTGCCCGCAGGACAGAGGGGGCAGAGGCAAAACCTTTTTTTCAGCAGAATATTTATCTGTAGTGGAAATTACTACCAAGTCTTCAAAGAAGACTCTGATGATCCTCAGGCTACTTCTAGTGATGATGTCAAGAGTTTTAGCACCAAGGGCTTCAGTGGAGACGCAGGAAACACGTCTGGGGAAGTGGCTTTGAAGTTGGCTCAGAGGGGCTGACACAAAATACAAAATAAATCATGTTAAGGCTTGATCAGGCAAACGCAGATGTCAAAGGTAAAACTCCTACACTTCAGCCATGAGCAGGTTCAGGTCCTCAACAACGAACCAAAGAAAAGTAAAAGCAGCAATTCTAACAGAAAAAAAAGAGTGGTCCCCAATATGTTTGGAAAATCCAGTACTCGGGACTTTTCATTTTGTTTTTAAACATACTTATTTGCTGTTGCTTCCAGTTAAGAAGCACAATCTTATTTCTGATACCAAATCCTTAGTTGAGTAAGAACACCCCCCCCATCATTCCTGGCACCATGAAAACAATGTTCCTGCCCATTCCCTGGCAGCACAAACACGCACGGGACTGACCTGTGGCATTCTCCTTTAAGATGTTCTCCCTCTTGGAAACACAAGTGGTGAGTCAGTTGTTATGGTAACTATTTTTCTTTTTTTTTGACTAACATATGACAGCCTGTGTGTCATCTGATGCTGTTCCTGAATTCAATTACACATCCACTTTTGTCAAATAGTCTAAAAAGGGCTTCTTGGATGAAGGAATAGCGGGGACAAAACAGGACATTTTCGCCCAGGCACACGGTTTTAATCCATTAAAACACTGATTATGTGATTAAATTTACGGGTCCAGTCAACTTTTTGTTAGCTCAGA